AATTTCCCCCCATCTCCCTGCCAATGATGGCAAATTTTGTGAATTGTTTTTCTCTCTTTCCCTTATCTGGCTCCAAAACCTTTTGCTGCCCAACCTGACTTTGTAGTTCTGTTTCTTACTTGTTTATTATTGATTTTGTTCTTGTCTAGGTTTTTTTTTTTTATGATGTTTTTAATGTTCTGTTTCTCCCTCCAGGCCAGTATAAAGGACTTGAAGTATTTTTTAATAATCCCCCCCAAAGAATTTCAGAAGTGCCATTATGATTTTAGGGTTTTATTTTCTTAAATCACTTCATATGCCTGTTTCCAGCACTGATTATCTTCGTAATCTATTAGGGTAGAACTGATCTGCAGTCATTTATATCCGTCATGTGATTGGGCAATTTAATCATTAGCTCTCAGCAGTCACCCTGAGGCAAGTGGAAACAGCTCTGGGCAGACAGTGCTCTTGGGTCACCGGGAAAGTCTAAAAGCAGGCAGCTGGAGGTACTGTGATAGCTTTAAAAGCAGCTACCTTATTAAATAGAGTTTGTATCGATATTGGAATGAAGACAATCTTTCCTACTTCGGATCTTTCACTTGCTGTTGTAGTTCTATGTGTTTAGTATGCCCTGTCGATTTGTGCTCTTATAATCTTTAATTTGAAAATAATGTGTCCTCATGGATGCCTTCATTTCCCCAGCTCTAGATGCAGATATTTAAATGGCTGCAAGTGTGACAGTGATCCGTGGATGATATAAATGCACACTTCCTCCTTGACCTTGGATCTGTGGGACTAGAAATGAGGTGATCTCCTCAGTCCCCTGAAAGAGACTGAATCAGTGTGACCAGGGGTGGGAACTTTTACCCAGAACCCAGTGAAGAACTCGACTGTCTGAACAAATGTATTGAGCCTCTCGTGGAGTTTTAAAACATCTAACAAATACGAAAAATGTGGAGCTCTATAGTTCAATATTTTTGAAAAAAAAAAACTGTTTCTGAAAGTGATGATAAATAACTACTTTTGAAGTGCTGCATATTTATACAACTGAGAGATTATTTTTGTAGATGTGATGTCTGTGAGCTATGTGTGCAGTGCTGCAGGCATTTAAAAATCATTTTTTAATTCCTAGGGAGATGCAAATAAACAGAACTCTCTTGTTTCTTCTGTGTCTTTATATATTTGTTTTCTTTTTCCAAGCTTGTGTTACCTCTTGTGCTCTTATTTATTATAAAATCTAGTTGTCTTGAACATTACGATGTTCTCTATAGATGGACACTCAACCCCAGTTCTGCTCTCTGAAACCTCCATTCCATTTCTGCCACCCCTCTCTGCCCTTTTCCCTGTGCCTTTATCATAAGTAGTGATGTCTTTAAATGAGAATATAATTTGTGGTGTCTGAAATGGTATTTTTTGCCAGACAAAAAAAATCTCCAATAAAAATTTTCCTTCTCTTTGAATATTACCACCTTATTCAAATAGTTTTGTTTTTTTTTTTAATCAATACGTATGTTTGTGTCTGGTTATAGGTAATTGTGCTCGCTTGAAGGTGTTCTTCCTAGAAAGGCTGTTGTAAATATCTACTCTTGGAAGGTCTTGAAATTAGACATATCCATATTTGGCAATTGAAAAAGAAACATTTCAAGCTGATCCTTTATCGCCTTCTCTGAGCAGGCTCCAAACAGCATTTGAGGACTGAAACTATAATTATACACCCTAAACCTCTAGTCGCAATTTTTAGGCACTATGAACTTTCTTTTTGAGGCCTTTTTGCCACTCCGGGAAACGGCCGCTGAGGAACTGGGTGCCTCATTTTTGTTAGCGCCGGGACACAAATCGATTTAGTGGTTGCTAACTTTTTGGAATGTAAGTTAAATACAGATGTTTAAAACTTCACACAATATGTAAACTCTTCTAGCGGGAGGGTTCCCTTACGGATCTGCCAGAGAAGGCGCAGAGCCCCACGGTCCAAAGCTACTTTCGTTTTCTCTGGCCCGGCTTGATTTCTTTCATATCTTGGACCGATGGTTGGCTGAGGGCCGCCAACTTCATCTGAACTGACAGAGAGAGACAGGGGGAGAGGGAGAGAGAGAGAACGGACTATGACTCAAACTGGAGAAGAAATAACCCCTGAAAATGGGGACACATGGACCCCGACCCTCCACTCTCAGGAAGAGTTTCTAACATTTTCTCTGTTTTCCTCGCAAGATGTGCTTTCATGTGAAACCGGCCTGTTTTCCCTCCTTTTTCGGTAAATGCCAGACTCCAGGGCCGCACTCCATTCCTAGGTTTCGAAGGTTTCCTGTCGGATGGGGGGATCGCCTCGAGGTTTTCCTTTCATCTGTAGTGTGCAGGTCAGTTTCCCTCCGCCCAAGAGAAATGGGAGGTTTGCTGAAGATTAAAACGGCTCAGATGCTCTCCGGTGGAATTTGAATTGATGGCTAAATCAATAACAGATGATGACTTTGCTATTTATATGCATTCCTTTTATATTCCAAATTGAGGTGGGAGTTGAGGGGCCGGTAGGTGGCCGAAGCGCTGGAAGGGAGGCCTGCGGGGAGCCAGGGCGAAGGGAGCTTCGGAGAGAGGCCTCTCCTTCGGGTGGAAACTGAGAGGCCGCAGGGAGAGCGCCTCCGAAACGCGGCAGGTTTTGAGCGCCACTGGTGGAGACTAGAGGCCCGCGCGTCTCCGCGTGAGTCAAGAGCCGAAGGACGCTCTGCAGCCGGGACGCACCGCCAGACAAAGAGGCGGCCGCGACGCTTCCCCGTGTCTGGCAGCCTGCTAGGTGCCTCTGACTCCGCTGTCCCGCCCGGCCTTCCTGCCACGATCTCCGGCTTTCCGAGACTCTTGGCGGAGCCTGGCAGCGGGCCGTGACCGCACGGGCTGGCGACCCCAGGCCGGCTGTGCCGCCCTTCACTGTTGATCTTGACCGTGCGGCGGCCGGTCGCCAGGCGTGGAGCTCGCTCGCCATCTCCTGGGCGGTCGGCGGCATTGGCAGAGCTCTCCGTTTAGCTCCCTGGCCAAATCCTCTCCCTTTCCCTAGCTCACCCGCCAAGCCTCCTGCCCTTCCCTCCCGCCACCCCGCCCACCCCGCCCCTCGGCGCAGTCTCCAGCTCCCAGATCCCAGCGTACAACTTTGCTTGCTGGACCTCGGAAATTATAAATCCAAGAGATAAGGTAGGGCGGCTGCGCCACCATTCTGAGCCAAGGAGAAATGGAGGGAGTCTAGTTATTCTAGTCTTTCTGTTTCTCACTTAGTCCCTTTATATCTTTAGTCCCTAGGGGTAAAGCGCAGCTGTGCGGATGCCTAACGGTCCGGAGAAGACACCCCTGAACCTGGAAATACCGGCGCATCACTGTATGCTGAGACAGGAGGAGATGAGACTGCAGGGATCCCTGGAGCTGGAGTTTCGGGCCTGGGGAGGCTGTGGCTCCTGGAAAACAGGGAGAGTCTCCCAAAATGAGAGCTTGGATCCCCTAAGTCCTTAGGAACTGAGGTTGCAGCTTATGCCTACACCACCCACCCACCCCACCCCACACCCCTCGAAAGGACCGGGAGCGCAGTTGTCTCTCAGTCTGAACTCCTAAAGAAACTCTGACAGAACCCTGAAGAGTCCGGGACATCCCCATGCCCACCCCCTGCCCCCGCCCTAGAGCGGGAGGAAGAGACCGACTGCGTTCCCCAGAGCCGCCCAATCGGTCGCCATGACTCACACAATAAAGACGCAGCGCGGTGGTCAGCCTTGCCCTCCGGCGGCGCCTGTGTGGTCTCCGTGCCGGAGCGGGCGGTCTAACCAATTCCAGCTTGGCTCTGGGACCGGCGAGGCGGGCTGCAGGTTGGGGCGGGCTCCAGTCACGCGGTCGCTGGGGTTCTCGGGACCCAGGCAGGAGAGGAGGACCCATAGCCCTCTGGCCAAACTAAATTGGAGGGCCTGCGGAGGGGGGCGGCCGCATTGCTCCCAGCGAGGGAGAGCGGCCCCGACGCATCCCTGTTCGCCAGAACCCCGAACCCGCCAGCCGCCTTGGAGGCACTGAGCCGAGGAACGCCGCCAGCCTGCTTCCTCGGTGGGCCCCGCTGTTCCCAGCCGAATGACTCTGGCTCTTCTGTCCTTCCACATCAGGTCGGGGGAGCTCATCTTGATCTGCCTGCTGCAGAGTTGAACAGCTTGGAGTTCTGGTTGGCAGGATGTAGTCACCAAGGTGACTCCAGGCAATAAAAGGAATGTAGCCTTTGGCCACAATTGGCCAATGCAGCTGCCCCTTCCCTGGCCAGCATTCTCCATGGACATGGATGGCCTCAACTTCCCTGGGAGCAGAGGGCTTGGCCATGGAGAAGCACACCAGAACTGGTGTGAAACCACCTTCCTGGGAGCCAAACTTGGGCAGAGTTTATGCTTCATTTCTCTTCCATCAGCCAATTTCTTGGACTGTGCCGGGCTCAGGCAGTGTGTGGGTCTTCGCTGCTAGACCACTAGGGCAGAATCCTCTCCAGAGGGACAGGGCAGGGAGGAATCGGCATTTGAGAAGCATTGCTCAGGCCTAGGGACAGAGCTGGTAGCCCCACCACACCATGGGCTCTCCTTGCAAGCCTAGAGGTGCACAGTACTGGAAAAGGCCTGAGCTGCAACTTAACGCTGGTGGAAGCAAGCCCGGCCCAGGCATCCAGTGGAAGAAGGGAGTTCAAAGCTAATCAAGACCAATAAGGATCCCAAGGGACACTCAGGCAAAGGCACCCAATGTCCCCAGCTCCTGAAGATGAACCTGGGAACTCCCAGTGGTTTCACCTTTGCTCAACGTTCCTTGGCTCTGCCTGGCAGCCTCGGCCTTTGCCATCCAATATTGCGGGTGTTATCATAATACCCTGAAGGGGGGGAAACGGGTCGGGGGGATGTAGGCGGTGCTGAAATGACCGGCTTTGAAGAACCTGCAGGCAAAGTTTCGTCCAATCGTCTGAGCCTGTCGGCTTATTCCCGGTTGTAACTAAATACTGCTGCAAGCGCAGCCGAAGCCCTTTGTTGGAGATGTGTGAGCGCAGTCTCTACAGAGCGGGCTATGTGGGCTCGCTTCTGAATCTGCAGTCGCCTGATTCCTTCTACTTCTCCAACCTGCGGCCGAATGGCGGCCACTTGGCCGCACTCCCCCCCATCTCATACCCGCGAGGCGCGCTGCCCTGGGCCACCACGCCCGCCCCCTGCGCCCCAGCGCAGCCTGCCGGTGCCACCGCTTTCGGCAGCTTCTCGCAGCCCTACCTGGCTGGTTCCGGGCCGCTCGGCCTGCAGCCCCTGGGCGCCAAGGACGGACCCGAAGAGCCCGCCAAGTTTTATGCGCCCGATGTGGCTGCTGGGCCGGAGGACCGTGGCCGTGCGCGGCCGCCCTTCGTCCCCGAGTCTAGCCTGGCACCAGCGGCCGCTGCTCTCAAAGCGGCCAAGTACGACTACGCTGGTGTGGGCCGTGCGGCAGCGGGCTCTGCAACCCTACTTGAGGGGACCCCCTGCGCTGCCGGCTTCAAGGACGACGCCAAGGGCCCGCTCAACTTGAACATGACAGTGCAGGCGGCGAGCGTCGCCCCTTGCCTGCGACCTTCGCTGCCCGACGGTAAACGGTGGCCATGCTCCCTGGGCCAGTTTAGGCTGGGTTGGGAGGTGGGGTGCAGGGGAGAGTGTGTAGGGGGAGGGAGCCGCGGAGGGCGGGCAGGCTACAAGGAGCGGCCGGCCGGGCTGACTTGGGTTGGGGCTGTGTTGCAGGCCTGCCGTGGGGGGCGGCCCCAGGGAGGACCCGCAAGAAGCGGAAACCCTACACCAAGCAGCAGATTGCGGAGCTGGAGAACGAATTCCTCCTCAACGAATTCATCAACCGCCAGAAGCGCAAGGAATTGTCCAACAGGCTGAACCTCAGCGACCAGCAGGTCAAAATCTGGTTCCAGAACCGGCGTATGAAAAAGAAGCGCGTGGTCCTGCGCGAGCAGGCACTGGCGCTATACTAGCTCCCCGCGTGGTCGCGGCTGGCCAGGCCTGCCTTTTTAAAACCGAGACCTGGCGTGTAGGAAGAGCTGTGGATAGGAGCTTTTCCTTCCGCTCCTTCTCCGCTGGTCCCCAGCACCCTTCCGCTCAGTCTGCCGCCCCGGAAGCCAGCAGAGGATTTGGAGACCGGGCCAGTCGGGCCTCTCTCTACCCTTCCAGCTCTCTGGGAGGGTTCTGCAGAAGTCGAAGTATAACCTTGGCCTTGAGGCTTCCTGAGTAGGGGTCTGGGGTCACCTGTCCTAGCTCTTGTCTGGGTTATTTACATGGGCGCTCACTCTAGCACCCTTGTACTTGGATTTCTGCTTCCACCTAGACTCCCTTTCCTCTTCTCCCCAGTCCTTTTTGAATTTAGTAGGCACCCCGCTAGAGCTCTGAGTGGAATTAAATCTGGGAAGTCCTTCGGGAAGGAGTAGAAAAGGGCTGCAGGCACAATTCTGTCTCTTTGCAGCCAAAGCCCCTTGTGGCAAAGCCAGAAACTTGGATCTGGAGAAAGAAAGGGCACCACCCCCCTCCTCTCTGCCCTGGCTGGTTTTGGAGGACAAAAGCCACCCTAAACATTCATACTTCGGGAGGGAAGGGGAGGGGAGGGACGGTGTGTCTGGACAAATTTGAAGACCCCTCCGAGTTTGGGCTGGGCTGGCCCCTCCAGCTGGACAGAATGGGGTGGATACTTCCTTCCCGTGGATTCCAGGGAGGCTGAGACTCCAGGGCAAACTGTGGTCTCTAGACAGGGCTGGCAAAATTTCTCCTACTTCTCCTATCTCCTCCCATATGTCTAGGCCAGAGCCCTGCACTCGGTAATTGGACTCAGCTCTGGTGAGGACAGCTGCTAATCTGCTCTGAGGCTGGGTTGCACTAGGATGTGGGAAAAATATCCAGGGGGAGGAGAAGGGAGTGAGCAAGGAGAGGGGTGTCCTACATTCAACTGTAAATATGGCTTCCCTCTTCAGATGGGTAAAGTTGTGGACATGTCTTTCTTGAATTAAGATAATGGGCCACCATAGGGAGAGACGAAAGTTCCTCCATCAGCCAGGGGGTGAAGAAGGAGGTCCCTCAAATCCTTAGCCCCTGGTCGCTGCTGTTGACCAAGTAGAGAGAAGTTCACCCTCTCTCACCCTCTTCACCACCACACAACTCCACAGGGGGCCTTTCTGTGCCTCAGCCACTGTGCCTTTTCTGAGCCTACGTCTGGCCTGCCTCAGGGGCGCCTGTAAGGCCCTGGGCCCTGCTGGGTTTGTTTTGTGGAGACTGGGGTTCCTGATGCCAGATGGAGTTGTTTTGTTTGTGCTGGGGTGTCCTGCCTTACCCTCAGAGAAACTGAGCCCCCCCTCCAGCTCCTTCTATCATTCCTACCTCTTTTCCCTCTCCTTCTGAGAAGTAGCACCCCCCAGCTCCTACTGAGATGTATGGCAGCCAAAGAGTTGACGATTCCTTCCTCAAGTCACTTATTTTCAGCGGAGGACTAGGCCCTAGATCTGGAGCGAGCACCTCCCAGAGAGCCCCAAGCCTCAGTCCAACCTACCGCAGTTTATGTTTAGACATTACATTTTCTTTGCTATCTAATAGTTGTTGTGCATGTTTTGTGTTGTTTTGATTTTGTCCAAAAAACAATAGCTTGTAAATATCAGATACATCGAAATGTTTTGAGTGGAAATAAATATACAGGTCCCAGCCAAGCTGTCAAGGGACTGATGTCAATTTTTCAAAAACATTCAGATTCCCTCCTCATGATTTGAGGCCACCAAATTCGTTTTTCTTTCCTGGTTGTGTTTTCACTGCAGGTGTTGACTGTTCATTAAATGAGAAAATGGCTTCCAAGTCAGTCTGAAAATGGTGTATAAAAGCCTTTGAACAAAATGTGTATGAAGCATCCGAGTGGGAGGAGACGGGGGTCTTGGAGCAGATTGGAAGGCATTAAGTGAACTCTTAGCTTGTAGGCCAGTGCTTCTATATTTTGCCTAAATTCTCAAACTTTAGGGCTTGCTGTTGGGGGAGGGTGTTGTCAAGATATGAGGATCCTCAGATTTCAACACAAAACATCTCTCCCTGCCATGTTTCAGTCAGGCTACTTTGGAACAGGCTATGCCCTATGGAAATTCTGCATCCTGGCACTTCTGTCTGGAGTCCAGCAGATTCCCTTGGGAAATGTGGCCTCCACACCCCATTGTAGGCCTTAGGAGCCTCTAGCTGAAGCTGGAGAAGTTAAAGTCTGCTCAGCATTCACTATCTGCTTGCAGACCGCAGATCCCAGCTAGCTTTGAAATGAAAACTAGAGAATTCCTAGTTTTAGATAGTGGAAGAATTAGCAAAACCATTAAATCTCTAATACCAAGTATTCGTGGGCTCCGATTCCCCTTTCCTGAAGCAAATTTGATGTGTATTTTAAAACAATTTAAAAACAGCTCTTTTAAGAAAAAAATACAACAGCAGGGAAAAAAGAATCAAGAGGTTGTGAGTCCCTATCTTTAGAAATGTCTTCCCACCTGATGGGGCTCCGGGAGCTAGTTGCACCAGGAGCTGAGTCTCTCTCCCAAAACAGCCGAACAAAGGCGGAGGCCACACGCAGACCTCAAGTCCAGAGAGCTGGGTAAAGGACTAGGAAACCGGAATTAGATGCAGGCCCTAGGATAACACGGAGAAACAGTTTCTTTCCAATGTATACCATTAAATCATCGTGCTCTTTCTCTTTAGTCTGGGAGGTGGGGTTGAAGGAGAAATTCATGGAGACCACTCCCCAAAGAGATTGAAATTATTCTAAGTGTAAAATATCGTTGTCCATTGGAGCTTCAGCAATGTTTTTCAAATTTATCCCTCTTACTGATCCGCACAAATTCAAAGGCGGTGATGTCCTTTCTCCTCTCCTAGCCAAGGTTCTGGCAGGGATTTGGAACCACGATAAAATTCCTAAGAAACAAATGCAGAGAGAAATGATGCTGAAATCTGAGGGCTCAACATTCTCTCGCACAAAGATAAATGCGTCCTCCGAAATGCTGCAGTCTGGGCAGGCCTCTTGACCGAGAAAAAGGGTTTTAAACGAGAAAAAATGGCTTCGGCTGGTATTCAACCGGCTGCAAGCTCAGAGGGCCCACCGGGGGACTCTTAAGGCCTGGGGGCTCTCTCTGAAGGAGGAGGACTAGGGAGGTTTCCGGGAGGCCAGCCGGTGGAGGAGAAATCCAGAACCGTTGTAAATATTCATGTCTGGGGGGGGGGTGCCTCTTCACCCCGCCTCTCCCAGCTGCAATCACCCCCCACTTCGTGAGGGGGGGTGCACAGCGCCTGTCCGACCGTCCTTGGACAAAGGTGATCTCCCCACATTTTTGTTCTCCAGTCAATTGACTTAGGGAGCCCATTCCGAAGGCTCTGCAGGGAAGGGACTGGCTCTGGGTGTTTTTCCCCGCGTTTCTCCTCTTCTTTCGTTTCCCAAAAGAGCATAAATAATTAAAGTTTGGCAGGGAGGAAAAGCTTTCTTGCAGAACTGTAGTGGCAATAAATGAAATGACTCAGAATCCCTTCCCCAGTCAGCTTTTACGAGGGCTGCCAGACAGTGTCTGTTCACGTTCTCCAGATACCAGGGGCGCCCTGACAAAGTTAAGGTCAAGTTAGTGTCTTATCTTGGGTGGCTCAAAATTACCGCATCGCGTCTGGGCGCTGCGCGGAAAGCTACCACTCGCGGAGCAGCTGGCTGTGCGGGAAGGGTCGGATGCGCTTGTGCTTCGAGTGGGGCCGCGCAGGCAAGGACAAGGCCACAACGCTGGAGTCTTCATGGTAGGTTCTCGCGGGACGCGCGGGTCGGGAGGCTGCGGTTTTCCTTGGGTTTCGGAGTGAGGATCCAGGAGGGAGCTGGGGCAAAAGGCCGAAGTGGGCTGGGCCCAAAATGAAAGCCCAAGTGTTGGGGGTGGGGGCGGGGATCTAAGCAAACGCGCCGAGAGGGGTCCGCTGCCCCTTCCTCTTTGGACCCGCGCGCCGCTGCTGATGGCTCACCCTCCCCCGCCAAAGCGCGGCTCCAACCGAAGCCGCCATCGCCATGTCGTTGAACTTGAATGGTTCCGTCCTCCCCATTTCCCTCTTCAGCGGTCAGCAGGCTTCGCTTTGGGGGCAGCGGGCTGCCTGCGCCCCACCCCGTGCAAAGAGAAGGTGCGAGAATTTTGCGCACTCCCAGACACGTAAAGACCCGGCTGGGTGGGGGGTGTCCCCGCAGCTGCTGCCCTGGGTCCTGAGCTGCCGCAGGGCTAGTGTCCGGGGAGCCATTTTAGGAGAGAGATCCAGGGGCGTCGACCACGAGCCGAAAGTGAGAGGCTTGGCGGGCGATGGAGATGAGAGGCAGATAAGTGTGCTGGCGGTCTGGACTGAGGAGAAAGGGGCGAGAGGGAACCTGGGCGAGGGTGCCAGCTGGAAGGAGGGTTCACAAAACGATAGGCAGTTCTGGGGTGGGGGGAGCCTCCTTGCCCTCCAGTCGCCACAGACCTGTTTGCGCAGTGTTGGGAGGAAAGCAGAGGTGGGAGGGGGGCGGAGGAAGAAGAGTGGGAGGGAGAAAAGGAGGGAGGAGAGAAGGGGGGGGGACAGCGGCCAGAAAATAGATATGAGCTCCGATCACCCGCCTTTTCTCTGTCTGTCGGCATGGTGGGCAGAGCTCGCCACACGGGCACTGCGGCAGCGGGGGCCAGGGAGGGAACCAGCTTCACAGCCTGCACCGCCTGCTCTGGGCATAGGGCTGAGGCCCAGAACCCCGTGCTGGGATTGCCTGGGCTGAGGAATCTTGGGGAGAGGGGTAACTTCCTGCCCTTGGTTCTGGGATTTGGGTTTGGAAAGCTTCTTTCTGAGAGACCGATTTTACCTTTGGAAAGCACTGGCTCTCCTGGAGGCGGGAGTCCAGGCCTCGCCTGGACCCCCGGGCTAGGAAAGAGGGACCCGGCGGCAGTGGAAGAAAGTGAGGCCTTGGGGCAAATGGATGGGGGTCTCTCGGGGCCAAGTGCTGCAGAGAAGTTCAACCAAGGAGGAAAAAGCTGCTGAGAGCATTCTGCTCTCCTCCCCAGAGCCGAGGGACCTGGGGGGGGCGGCTTACCCCCGCCCCCCCACAGGGACCATTCCGGCTCAAGGGCACCGCAGCAGCCTAGGGGAGACCAGGCGGTGGGGATTCGGGATTCGTAGCCCTTGGCGGGTCTCCGACCAGGGAAGGGGCCGGTTGTGAGGCGGGCTGGTCCTAGCTCAGGCCAAAAAGCAGAGAGGGTGAGGAGGGTAGAGGCGTCGGTGGTTTGTCTCCCGTGGTGGGGAATGGGAGACCAGGCACCTTTAGAGTAGGACTCCAGATCCTTTTGTTCTCCAGACCCCCCAACTTCTAGAGGGTCATGGGGCATCTCCGCTGGCTAAACTTCCTCCTTGCTTTAGCATTAGGAGAGGAAAGGCAGAGAGGCGACAGGGAGAACACAGAGGTGGTGACACACAGCTAGGGGAAAGGAAGAGAGGATCAGGAGATAGAGAAAGAGGAGAGGAAACGAGGAAAGTAAGAAGAAGGAAAAAGGCAAGAGGGAACAAGAGAAGGGAGTGGGAAAAGAGTGGACGGGAGAGAAAGAAGTGAGAAGACTGAAGGGAGGCGGAGGAAGGAGAAAGGAAGACAGGAACAGAGAGAGGAGGAGAGAGGGCATGAGATCCGAGTGCGCACCGAGGCCCTGGCCTGGGTGAGCTCCTGGTAAGGCTTTGGTGTAGGTTTTTTCGAGCCTGGCACTCGCGCTCCCGGGGTCAGTAGTGGAGAGAGCCAAGTTATTCTGCGATGAACGCGCAGGGCTGAGAAATATGTAAATCAGGGCTCCGTATGCCCCGAGAGTGGCGCAATTACGCCCCCTGAGCAAGAAGCAACAAGCTCCCGACCCGCAAGCTGCAGAGGGTGGCGGCGTCGCGGGGGAGGGAGCGGCTGCAGGAAGGGGTGTGGGGGGTGGGAACCTCACAACCTCACACCTAGTCCCCTGTGCCCCAGGCTGGGGCTCCCCCCACCGCTCTCCGCTTCTTTCCCTTCCCCCTTCCTCCCCCTACTTCCCCCTCCCTCCTCCTCCCCGCCGGCTTCGGTCCGCGTACTTAAAGCGGCGCGGGCGGGCGGGCGCGGGCGGGCGGCCCAGCCGGGTGGTGGCAGATGCACCCAGCAGTGGCAGCCGCCGGCGGCGCACAGGTGACCGGCCTGCGGCTCAGCCAGGTCGGGGAGCGCCCGGGGAGTGCTGGCTGGAGCGGGAGACTGATCCGCCCCCAGCGCGCGCGTGTCTCGGCGCCAGGAGCCGTCCCGGGGCGTGTTGGCGAGAGCTGATATAGATATAAGGACATTTCTCTCCATGGCGTCACGTGACATAATTACCACCAGAATCAATCAAGATGAATTGCACGTCAGCGCCCGGTGGGGATTTTTGCTTAGTTGATCCTGGCCCAAGCCTCTTGTGCAATCGATGGCTCAGGTTGGCGGCGCGGGGAGCGGCCCGGGGCTTGCCGGCGCGCACGCCGCGGAGCCATGAACGACTTTGATGAGTGCGGCCCGAGCGCAGCCAGCATGTACCTGCCCGGCTGCGCCTACTATGTGGCCCCGTCGGACTTCGCCAGCAAGCCGTCGTTCCTATCGCAACCGTCGTCCTGCCAGATGACTTTCCCCTACTCTTCCAACCTGGCGCCGCACGTCCAGCCCGTGCGCGAAGTGGCCTTCCGCGACTACGGCCTGGAGCGCGCCAAGTGGCCGTACCGCGGCGGCGGCGGCGGCGGCGCTGGGGGCGG